AGAAAGAAAGAAAGAAAGATGGGGAGGGGGGGTGGAGGTAGGATGGTAGGAAGGAAGGGAGAAAAGGAGAAAGAAAGGTGGAAAGAGAGAAACAAACAAAAAAAGCTAACAGATGGGGGGAGGGAGGGAGAGAGAGAAAGAAAGAAACAAAGAAAGCAAATAGAAGAGGAAGGGGGACGAAGGAAGAGAGAGAAAGGGAGGGAGAAAGTGAGAGAAAGTAAGGTGAAAAGAAAGAAAGGTGTAAAGCAAGCAAATAGATGGGGGAGGGAGGAAGGAAGGGGAAAAGATAGACTTGATGTGTGAAAGATGCATAATGAATGTTGGAAGATGAGACTGATTTCCTGTGTCAGGGGGTGCAGCATCAGATTTCTGGCCCTTCCCAATAAATAGCAGAAGAATTATTTGTTAATTCTCTCTCAGTACAGGAGTATACCCTGGAATAAGTTGCTCCTGCCATCTGTTTCCCAAGGCAAGGCCAGACCTGCACTTGGGTGGGAGTCCCCAATTCCGGTCCCACCTTCATCAATAGTCTTGCCAGCAGTCTGTAGCAGTACCAGAGTAGTAGTTTTTTCATCTAGCTATAAATTTAGTCTAGGGAACAGAGTTTTCCCTTCAGTTGCCTCTCTGCACCTTCTCCAAGTACAATCAAAACTAAGAAAAGCCTCTTATCCAAGTTGTTTAGGCAGAGGACTTCTATAATCTTGAAGCCCCCTGTTCAGAGTCCCCAATGGTTGGGGACTGCTTCACCAAGCCAGGGAAGAGACATTATGCTGTCCCTTCAAGATGATCAAATAGAATGGACTAAAAAAAAGAGAAGTAACTAAGTTAAACAAGGGGCTCATAGTTGTACCCTCACCTTGTTTAGCCTTTTTTTATTTGGCAGCGAGGGTTTTTGTTTTTCATTCTGTTTAGGCAGTTTAGTGGTGTTGAATGTTCTAGTTATTATTCCAGGGGATTAATGTTCAGATTTAGTCCTGTCTTGGGAAGTGCGTGGAAGGAGCGACCTGTTCCAGGATATCCTTCTTTCACTGAGAAGAATGAATACTCACAGTGAGTGTTTGCATTCATTTTGCATAATCGGCTCTGATTTTTGAATTCCACTTTCTTTCTTGGCACAGAATAATTAGCTTTTTATTTTTAGTGCTTAGGTATATAGAACTGCTGTTACATGTGGAGTTCCCATCATCATTTGTCACCTATCCTGCCTATCCAAGCACACTTTGATCTCCAGGAAGATGCCCAAGTGTTTACCTCTGGTCCAGAGGGAGGATCTGTCAGAGATTAGACACTTAGATATAGAAGTGTCAAAGAACAATTATCTGGTGTAAGAAAAGCCATGCGCTCTGAGAACAGAAAGTGTCAAGCTTCCATGGTGTTGGAGCATTTTAAGGGAGACATTTAAAAGCAATCCTTTTTAGCTGGCAATGAAGGCTCACACCGCATTTCTTTAAATCCTCCTAACTTGATTCGACTCCATTTGAGATAGCTTTGGATGGATCTGCTTATTCACCCTGCCAGATGGAGATATTCTGTCATAATGGCAACTGCTTTCAAAGAACGGAAGGGCAGGGGAACGAGTCAGCTACACTTGGCAGCATCAAAAAAAAAGAGTTTTCCCCTAGACTTCATCCTCTTAGCTTTGGCTTGCATGTTAGTTTTGAAATGCTCTGAACTGAATGGATTTGCATGAAAGGTCACCTGAAATAGAACACATGGTTTTAGCGTCTCCTTTGCTGACATTCCATATTTTCTGAGTCTTCATAAGACTGACAGAGAAGCTTTTGTCTGTACTGGCTCCTAGTAAGAGGTAGAACATTTCTGCAAAAAAAGAAATAATGTTGATGATTCATTTGTTTAAACATTTAAGCGATGACTAAGCTTCCAAGTGAAATTTAGAAATAAAAGAAAAAGATATCCTACTCTCCCCCCACCCCCAAATCGCATTAGGGTTGCATATTGCACTGTTTCTGTTGATGTGGCATCTTTTTTGTTTGCTTAGGCAGGTGATTTTTAGCACATCTGTGTTTACAGTAGTTTAATGAAACGACTTTGCAAAAAAAATCTTTTTACTAAAACCTTCCTGACAACAGGGATCATAGTAAAGAAGTGATAGTTCAAAGAAAGGTCTGGCCTGTGGTATATGAATAAGAACCAAATAAAAATATCTTAGTCACTGTTAAATAAATGCCTAAGTGTGCTATGGCTGTATGCTTTAAAAGGGATTTCAAGATTCTGGCTCTTCCAAGGAGGGAAAAGAGCAGGAAGAACAATTTCGCCAGCTGTAACATCTTGCTGAGTGTTTGCTTTTCCCATTTCAGTAGGGTTGGGTGTGTCCAGAGGTGCAAGCCTTTGGACTTGGCTCTTTGGTGCTTAGTGCATGACTCTCAACTGGTGCCTTTAGCTGAGCCAAATCCTGAATCCCAGACAAGCCCAAGACATGGTTTGTTTGGTTTTCCAGTTGTTTGCTTTATTTAGACTGTGTTTGTTTTGTTTTACTGTTGGGAATTGTTTTGGGTCCTTTCATGGAGAAAAGAGGAATACAAGTAAATAAATTGTGACCCCATCAGATGGGGACTGTTAAAGGTAAGAATGCTGGATTAGAAGGATTCAAAGCTAGAGATGGCATAATGGAATTTTCAGTATTCGTAAGTATAGTTCGTTGATTTCCCTGTGCTGTAAGAGTTCCAGACCTCGTTTTTCACGGGGGGAAATGAACAAAAGAATTAGTAAATTTTACTTCAGAAATCTCCCAAACAAATTTTGTAGCCAGAATGAATAGAGTAAATCTGTACAGAGATCATCCATTTGCATCATGTATTACAAATATAAAATACAGAATTTGAGACTTCTGCTTGCAATCCCAGATGTGATATTATAAAAAGACTCCAAACTCTGGCAATAAATAAATAAATTATCACTACATTAGTTAGTGGTTTAGCAATGATACAGAGGACAACTCTCACAATTCAGATGTTGGATAGTAAATATTTCTGTCATTGGCTTTGATTCTCCCAGAGAGGACGGGGGGGGGGCACCTAGAGGAGTTCAGCACTGAACAGTTTCTTCTCTGTCCACAGGTAACCTTAGGACAGGGGTCCCCAACCTTTGTCACAGGAGGTGGGCTGACTACAAAATGCCAGGGAATGAGGTTATGTATAATTCTGAACAGCTGTTCATAATTTCAGGCAGAAGTCCTGTTTAATGGGATGCCTTTTAAAATTAGCATATTGTTTAAAAGATTTTCTTGCATACACACAAAATAAGTGTACATATTGAGCTAGCTAAGGAACTATCATCTAGCACTATTTGCCATCATTTTGCAGGTATCTAATGCATTTATGCTTCATCTCCTGGCTGTTCCCTTTACATGGGCCCTTCCTGTTAGAAGCTGAGCAAATTTTTAACATTCGCTGCTATTTGTAACAATGTAAGTGGTGCTGGAGGGCTGGCGAAAGCTCCTTGCACATGTGTGCAGTAAGAGAAAGAGTCTGGTTTGGAACATAAACATGTGTGCAGTAAGAGAAAGAGTCTGGTCAGATTTTGTTTGGAACATACATTATTTTTGAGAAATGCACAAAACTTGACATTTCGATGTTTTACTAACTTCCACTTGACTTATGAAAATACATTAAAACTGGGAAGATCTTATGATTTCAATAGAAAGTCCAGTTAGGTGCCTTAAGCATTTTAGCCATGCAGCCTTGTTGTTTATATTCAGAAGCAAGTCTCACCTTTTTTTTAAACAGTATTACTCTGCTTTTTGCACAGTACTTTACTTAAGGCCACTGTCCATGTTATACTGTAAGCATCAAAAACTCAAAGAGCCCCATATGGCCCTGCCCGCTTTCTAAAACCACTTGGTGGGCA